CCGCAGTCCGTGTACTCTGGGGCAGCCCCGTTCGTAACTGCGGATCCGACATAAGTCGGATCCGCGTAAGTCGGGGACTTCCTGTAGTCCACATCTAGAGGAAACAGAACCCCTCTTCCCGAGGCCCCGTCCCTTCTGGGGCAGCCCATGACCACTTCAAAAATTCATGAAGTAGCCCCCCCGCTTCAAAAATGATTGCCTACCCCTGATTTAAATGGTGGGCAGCCCCGTTCGTAACTGCGGATCCGACATAAGTCGGATCCGCGTAAGTCGGGGACTTCCTGTAGTCCACATCTAGAGGAAACAGAACCCCTCTTCCCGAGGCCCCGTCCCTTCTGGGGCAGCCCATGACCACTTCAAAAATTCATGAAGTAGCCCCCCCGCTTCAAAAATGATTGCCTACCCCTGATTTAAATGGTGCTTGGTCCTGCCATGAGAGCAGGGGACTGGACTTAATGTCCTTTCTAGTTACAGTATTCTGTGATTTGAGTTCTTTTTCATGTCATTCCAATCAAGTGTGTGCATACATGTGGGCATGGGAGCCAGAACATTTTTCATCTAGCAGCTCACTGTAGGGTTGGTCTGGGCGCACCCCCTTGGAATGGTGCCTTCATGGTACCCAATATAGGGTCCTGCTGATCCACCCCCTCCTCAGTTTCTTGTAACAGCCAGTGACGATTATCTGTAACTCCCCTGTGCTCTTCTTTGCAAGTGCAGCAGCAGTGCATTGACTTTATTTCATGCCTTGTTGTTGTTTTAATTGTTAGTTAGTAGTTGTTAGTTACCTAATGTTAAAATAAGTTTGCATTTGGGAAGTTTTTCCCTCCCATGTGTTTTTGGGACCATGGCGTGCCTGGGTCTCTGGGCTTCAAAGCCTGTGAAACCTGTGGCAATTGTATGCCCAGAAGTGATCCTTAGACTTTGTATTTGAAGTGTTTAAGAGAGGGCCATCAAAAAGATTGCAGCACTCCAATGTGGAAACTACAGAAACAGAACCACCAAAAAGGAATATCAATCTTCTGCTGGTGGCAGCTGACGCGGATTATGAAAATGAACATGTATCTGTACTGCTTTGAATCATTATAGAGCGAGCCCATCATTTGCATGGGCGCATGTCTTCTGGAATGAAGATTGAAGCATGAAGGGACATACAACTCATTAGCAATACCGGCTATAAACACTGCAATATGAATGCCTGCTATCATTTGATGATACTGTAAACAAGTCAGTATTATGTCCTGCAAATGTAACTGAACTTGTTTGTCTGAGCAATTGGCTAAACAAGAAGTAAGACTGACTGTACTTGCAGGCTTTAAAGTTTTACATTTTTTTATTTCTGAATGCAGTTTTTTCTTACATAATTCTACATTTATAAGATCAACTTGTCATGATAGAGATGGCATTACAGTACTTGTATTAGGTGAATTAAAAATACTATTTTGTTTTTATAGTGCAAATATTTGTAATAAAAATAAAGTGAGCAGTGTATACTTGGAATTGTGTTGTAATTGAAATCAATATATTTGAAAATGTAGAAAGCATTCAAAATATTTATATAAATGGTATTCTGTTGTTTAAAAGTGAGATTAATTTTTTTGAATCTCTTGACTGTCCTAATTTTTTTCTGTTGTGGATCATGTGTGTTTGTAAAAGATTTGGAAACATTCAAAGTGAGAGGAGCTTTGTAAATGTAAATTAGATCTGGAGTTATATTTGATTTTCACTTTCTCTACCTTCCATTCAATCTCATTTAAGCATATATCCTGAGACCACATCTCAGGATGAATAACTTGGCTGGGTGGTGGTGAAGATGCCTGTGGAAGGAAAACAAAGGTATCTTCCACAGGATGGAGATGCAGAGGCCTTTGTTTGCCCCTAGTATGGCCCAGTCCAATGCCAATTGAGTTGAGTGAGCTTTGTATCAAGTCCCAAGTAAAGGAGGACCAGAGGGTTTGTGTAGTGATAGGTCTGTGGTCCCTCCCTCCACTTGAATCCCCTGTTTGCAGCTGTTTGTAGATCCCCTATACGCTTGGGCTCTGCATTGCACCGGGGTCACATGCTCTAATTTGGCCTTTCAGATTCTGATACACTCACAACACTTCTGCTCATACAGCACCCACTGTAGCTATTGTGTTTTCTATTATTAATGGTGTTATTTCTTGTTAAATTCCTGTACATTTTAAACTGAAGTAATTAAAATTCATTTTATTTTTCTCCATTCACTCCACTGATGAATTTGTCCACCTAGGTTTCAGCCACTGCTTCTTGGGACTCTTCTGTACACGAGTCAGTGCATTTGAACAGGGTAACACCACAAAATGAGAGGATTTACTTAATAGTGAAGATCACTGTGCAACTTAGTCATCCTGCTGCTATGGAATTAGTACTGCGTAAAAGGATTGCAGCCAATATTTACAACAAGCAGGTAATGTGTTTTATTTCTATTTTCACATCTGCTTGTATAGCTCTTAATTTTAGTGATATCTTGTTCTTGCCCAAGTATTATTCCATTTTGCAGGTGGCTTATATTTCTTGGCTCCTATGCCTCGTTTATTTAATATGTTCTATTAAATAAGAAAATTTCAGTTAGTGATGAAAGAGCTCACCATCAAGCTACACTTCCACATAGAGCATGAAACAAGATAATACTTTTGCTGATGACATACAATATGAAAATTATAGAGTTGCTATATAAAGTAATTGAAAAAGTTAATTTTTACTCCTAACAAGTAGCGTCCCTATGAGAGCCCACTGTATGTGTGTGTTATGCTGTCAGTTGGAGAATTTCAGTAGCAGTTTGTCCTGTCTGTGAATGCATGGCTCCCACCTGCCACATGGCTAGCCGCATTTGCAAGCATTTCTTTCCTGCTTTGGGGAGAAGTATAGTCCACAAAAGTGTAGATAGAGCCAGCAGCTAAAACTCAGGTCCAGGAAGGACAGAGAATTAAACCTGCATGTGGAGTTGATCCTTCAATTTCAGGAGTCCCAGAATAAGAAATCATTGCAAACTTCTACATTGAGGCTGTCACAGGGTTGACCCACTGCTGCGGCATTTCCTGATGGTAGCACTGGGAATTAGCTCTGGCAGCAGGGTGCCTTTCTCTGGCCGGTGTCTCACCCATCGCTCAGCTCTGTCCACAATCAGTCTTTGGACCCATGTCGTTCCTGGACCATGGTCTCCTCTTTGGGACCCTGCTCCATAAAGTTATCTCTTATCCCCCTCCTGGGGGATTATCGGCACTCCCTTGTCTCTGCTCCCACTGTGGCCTCCAAGCCTAGCCCCTTTGTCTCAGGGGAAAGCCACAGTCTGTATGGGCTGCACCTTCCTCCCAGGAGGATATCAGCAGTTCTCTGTTTCACATGCCACTGTGCCAACTGCGGCCCCCAAGTCTAGCCTCTTACCTCCAAGGCAAGCCAAAGTCTGTATTGGCCATGCCTTGGTGGCAAGATGTGATGCAAGAGGAAGGGGGGAACCCAGGTCTGGCCACTACTCTGGGTCCCAGCCCAGAGACCCTCTGGCAACATCCTTGTCCTGTGCTCCTCTACTCCCCTTTACTGCCCCTATTTCCCTGGGCCACTTCCCCTGTGTCTCTTTGTACCCTATTGGCCCTTTTAGCAAGGCCAACAGCCTACCAGGTATCAGGCTGGAGCCTCCCTCTCTAGCCTCCCCCCTCTCTCCCCCCCACTCTGTAATCAATTGCCCAGTCTGCACCTTCCCTGGTCAGGGCCCAACTGTTCACTTTGCTGAGCAGCTCATTTTATACAGGGCTGCCCCAGCAAGCTACACCCTGATTGCCTACTTAAACGCCTCTCCCTCATTGGCCAGGGCTCTGCGCAGGCTCCCTCTTGCCTGCTTTACCCCCTTCCTAGCCAGCCAGTGTGGGGCAGTCGCCCCACTGCAGAGGCATACTAAGGAAATGAGCCACTCTGTAAAGACAGGTAAGAGGAGCCTGTGTGTCACTCTCATTGTGGAATCTCTTCAGTAACTCAACCCTCTGGCTGAGTCGCACCCTGTGTGTATCACAAACCTCTTCTGGGGTACACCTTTACCAGAGGTCTATCTCAGTGCCCTTTGTATAGTGTCCCTCTGTTTCGGTCTGTCTCCTATCCACTTGAATAGTGAGTGATGCCTCCAAGACTTCCCCTCCTGGAGACAATATCCTTGCCCTTACCTCAAGGCTTGTATTTGAGTTATTTCTACTTGTATTCCAAGTAGTCTCACCAAAATCCCCATTAGCTCCCCACTTGGAGCTCTCCGTGGTGCTGCTGCTCCTGTAGTCAGCCAGCCACTTGGTCTTCACAGATACAGGGCTCCAGAGACACTAAGCTGACTCTGATCCTGCAGCTGCTTCTTATAGGCCTTCTTGGCCCCTGATTGGCTGGTTCCTCCTGCAGCCACTCTAGCTTCCTGGAGGACTTGTCTGTGGCCCTTTTCTGGGATGGGGAGTGGCAAGGCCACAAACTTCTAGCAAGGGGTTTCAGGGTCTGGTCCACTCCATCATACTTGCTGAAGGTTCAGTTGGCAGCAGTTGCAACCTTCCAGCAGCAGGTAGAAAGCTACTCGGTCTTCTCTCACATGACTATGAAGAATGTTCTAAAAGACATAGCAAATGTCTTCCCAGAACTGAGGACCCCCATTCCACAATGGGACTTCAGCCTAGTGCTAAAGGGCCTGATTAGACCACCCTTCATATCCGTGGCCACTTGTTTGTTAACTCACCTTTCCTAATTGCCATCACTCCTTCTAGAAGGATGGGGAGATACCAACGTTGATGGCATATCCTCCTTGTATGGTGTTCTTCCTGGGAAAATTGCACTCCGATCATACCCAAAGTTTTCTCCCAGAATAAATTGTGCATTTCACATGAATCACTTCATTCAGTTTGCCAGTATTTTACCCTAATCCTGTTATGGATAACTCAGAAGCCATCCTCTCTACGTTCAGTGTGAGGAGAGCCGTAACCTTCTACTTAGGACAAAGACTTTCAGAAAATCTCCAAGGCTTTTCCTTACTGTTGTAGATAAATTGAAAGGTGCCACAGTGTCACTTCAAAAACTCTCCAAGTGGGTCTGTGGGTGTATTAAACTCTGCTGTCAATAATTGAGGATAACACACCTATCTTCAGTAAACATGTATTCCACAAGATTGGTCTCCTCGTTGATCACCTTCTGTAAGTGTATCCCCATATCGGAGTGATGCAGACCAGTTACATGGGCGTATGCACATATCTTCACACAACATTATGCCAGGGTGAGTGATTTGGCTTCAAATGCCAAATTCAGGGCTTCTGTACTATCATATGTTGACTCCAAATCCAGCCTCCAGCAGTGGGTATTGCTTAGGGGTCATCTACAGTGGAGTACCCACAGGGACACTGCTCAAAGAAGAGGAAGTTACTTACCTTGTAGAGTAACTATGGTTCTTGGAGAGATGTGAACCTCTGGGTGCTCCGTGATCTTCCATCCTTTCCTCTATTTCAGAGTTCTACTGGTTGACTCTGTGGTAGAGATGGAACTGCAAAGGAAGTGCCCACACGTGTTAACTAGCCTCGTAACAGGTGGGCTGCAGTGCATGCTGCTATTGAAATTTTCCAAATGACAGGGTGGGAGCATGCACACACAGTGGACCACCCATAGGGACATAGAGCCATCATTATTGCACAGAGTAACTCTCTTGCCACTGTTGCCTGCTCACCCCCTTTCGTTTCTAGTTAGGGAACTTTAACCATTATTACTGCACTAGGCGGGTAACTTCTTTTTCACTGTCCTAGAGACATGGTCAAAGACAAATTTACCGAATTACTTTGCAGCCTATGGTCCAGAGAATGAGATGTTGATATTCGTACAATAAATGTTTGCAGTCCTACTGTCAATCTGATTCTCAATTGCCATATTCTTTGTGTAGTCATTTATGCTTGTGCTAAGAAGATGTACAATGCTACTATTCTAATTTGGTTGCAGAATACTCAAAATTTGTATGTTGCACAAATGTAAAAAAGTACAGAAATTTCAACGCAGTGGAGAACCAGGACCCTTAAATGTAAAAACGTGATTGCTTCATAATAAGTATTAGTACCAAAATGTTAGTGAACTTAAAATGTTAAGAGTGAATTTTGTTTTACCATTAAAATATGCAAAATACATACAATTATATGCTAAACATTACCATTGTGGATACAGAAATTTACAATTCCTTTATATTTATAGAGTTTTACGCAGAGTCTGAAAAGAAGAATATCTTTGAAAAATATATTTTATTCCTGTGGTGTGACCTATGAAGTAGTATCCAATATACCAAAGGTAAATCATACTGCACTTCTTTGCAATATGTGAAAAGAGCGAAATGATATTCTGGCCAAGATAAAGTACTTGGGGGAGAATTGAATATTCAGTTTCTGTTGCTATGAAAAGGACTTGTACCTCTGAACCCCTCCATGCCAAATGAATCTTTGTATAAGCTTTTATTTGAATAATGTGTAGAGTGCAGAAGAGCTAGCCCAGTGGTCTCCAACCTTTTTAAGCACAAGATCACTTTTTGAATTTAAGTGCAATCCAGGATCTACCTCAAACCAAATACCCTTGCCCCGCCTTCTTTGTGCCCCTTCTCTGAAGCCCCACCCCTGCTTACTCTGTCCTCTCTTCCCCCATCCTTCCTCCCTTTCACCAGGAAGGGGCAGAGTTTTGGGGCACAGGCTCTGGTCTTGGGCTAAGGGATTTGGAATGTGAGGGTACGTCTAAACTACATGGCTCCATCGAAAAAGGGAAATGAAGCGGCAATTTAAATAATCGCTCACGAGGCATAATGGGGAGGTTGACAAGGGCTTCCTTTGACCATGGAGCATCCAAACTACCGTGCTGTTCCGCCAAACAGCTGATCAGCACAGCACAGCAGCCATTTTGATGTAAATGAAGTGGCAATTATTTAAATCACCGCTTCATTTCCCTATGTCTAGAAACCTCATCTACATGGCTCCGTCAACGGAGCCATGTAGTTTAGACATATCCTGAGAGTGGCTCTAAGTGGAGCCTGGGGCAGAGGGTTGGGGTGCAGGAGTGGGTTCATGACTTGGGCAGGGGTTCAGAACAGGCTCCAACTGAGCACTGCTTACCTCAGTGGATCCTGGGTGGTGGTGCAGTGGGGCTAAGGCAGGCTCACCCCTGCCCTGGCACTGCACTGCTCCCAACAGTAGCCAGCAAGCTACTTCCATCCCAAGCCCTGCTGTGCCCTCTCTCTGTTCTGTGGAGACAGAATACAGGATAGGGACATCAGTGCCACCTCCTCTCCCTTCCCTGCTCTGCACAGCAAGTGGGAGACTCCTGGGGGGAAGCTCTAAGGCAAAGGGCAGGAGATGCGCAGCAATGGGGCAGGGGCAGTTGAAGTGCCAGCACTTGATAGCCTCTTGGCCAAACCAGTCAGAATCACCTGTCAGGGGCTCCGCGATCTACCAGTAGATCCTGAGCTACTGGTCGGTGACCACTGGTCTGTAAAGATTATACAGATTGCTTAAGAATCAGGAAGAAAGAATTAACAGTTTCAGGTTAAGCAGTGATATTTGGAGGGCGATTTGGTATCTGGTTAGAAGAGCTTACCCTAGATATTAGTCTTATTTCTGTAGCGGGAGCAATGATCACATCCTCAAGACAGAAAGATTATAAATAAGTGAATCATGCTGCATTTAAATCAGTGGATCTCAAGAAATGTATCTGTTTAATATATATATTACAATTTATAATTTTAGGCTACAGAGGAAATTGAGGATCGTGAGACTCTGGCCCTGATGGCAGCAAGAACTGAGAACGAGGGTACATCTGATGGTGAAACTTATATAGAGAAATATACACGTTGCGTGTTGCAAGTGGAGAACATTTTAAGCCTTGAACGACTAAGGCAGGCAAGTAGTAAGGAAAGGTGATTCATAGAGCCCTGCACAGATACAAAATTTGTATCCACATCATGAGTTGCACAACTCCACATCCATGTCTGTGGATGCAGATACCAATGGATATAAAGTGAATATCCATGGATTTGCAGGGCTCTAATGATCTGATGGAGGTTTTAAGACTCTGGGGAGATTTTGAGTTGGTGTTAATGGTGAAAATAAGATTAAAAAATGTAGAGATAAGATGGCAAAAACATGTGGATGTATATCAAGAGTATACCTGTGTAAAATGAATACATCTAATCTTAAAGATGCTGCTGTGTAGAGGAGCTATAGCATCACTGAATTAAATAGAGGTCAAAATATTCCATCTTTTCACAGGCAGTCACAATGAAAGAAGCACTCTCTACTAAGGCAAGACACATACGGAGGAGTATCAGCACACCAAATGTCCATAATGTAAGAAACTCTTTCTGAAAAAGTTCTAGTTAGCCAGGTCTTTCTTTGTTTAATCTATAGATGGATAAAATAATTCCTTACCACTATCACACCAAGTGTCTACATATTCTAAACTTGATTTAATTTTTAATTGATTTTTTGCTAGTATATTTTATGAAGGGTTTTGTAGATTTCTATGACATCTATGGGTATATTTTGACTAGCCTGTGCAATAGAAACCACATTTCTGCTAGCTGAACCCATCATTGTTGTAGACACACAGAACAGGTCAGACTCAAAGACAGCAATGGTCCCTTCTGGCCATATAATCTGAGAATCTATGAACACAAGGTATGATCTTTTCTCACACCTTTTCACTGGTGTCTTCTAGGTATCCTCTAGCCGATTAGATCTTTTTGGCTGTGATGAAGATGATAAGGTATGTACATTTGGATTTTCAGAAGAATAAACTGCAGAAATCTTCAATTCTTCTTCAAGAGATGTCCCGATGGGTGCTCCACATCAGGTTGGTGCACTGCTGCCGAGTCTTCAGTCAGAGTCTCTAGAGCAATGTCCCTGGGGCCATGCATGTGCATGCCTCTAGCCGTGCGCTTCTACTATGCAGGCATCATGCATGTGTGAGCTCCCCCCACTCCTCAGTCCCTTCTCTATGGCTTCTGGCCAGAGATAGAGCGCAGCAGTGTTCCTTACCTCGTTTTGCATTATTAGATAAGTAAACCCCCATTTTACACCATTCTTACCTCATAGTTAGATAGTTACCTCGTTAGCCATTTCCGGTTCATTGTTTAAAACAAAAAGCAAACAAAAAACCAAGAAGCTTTTTTTATTCCAGCTTTTTCTTCCCCTTTAATTAGATAGTTAATTAGCGCCATGCCTGGCTCACCAGGATTTAAGCACTTTTCTACCTGCAAAGACCCCATTCAGGTGTCCTGCAGACACACACAATGTGTCTAATACCTGGACAAGGCACATATTTCTCAAAAATGTCTTCACTGTGCAAAGCTGAAATTGAGAGCACAACATGACAGAGACTTACACCTCAAGCTTGTACTGCTTGAAAAGTTGCTAAGACCTGCCTCAGACCCAAGCCAGCAGTCTGAGAAGCCTCAAGTGCAAAAAGATAAATCCTAAAAGAAAGTGCGTCTCTTCACTACCTCAGGAGACTCCAGCACCTAAATGCTCTTCTCCGATGCCTATGGTGCCAAGAACGAGGAGAGCCTCGTGGTTCAGTTCTGCTGCCTTCCCTAGAGAAATCCAGTGCACTGTAGAGAACCTCTCATTCAACAGACAGAAGCTCTTTTCATCAAACACCAACAAAGTACTGCATTCCATGAAAGATTGTAAGGCGATGCTCAGGTCTGTCAGCATTCACAATCCCGAAGCTACAATAAGAAAACAATACAGGTATCAACCATATCCTAGACCAAGAAATCCCCAGTATACTCAGCAATACAACAGACAGGATCAACATCAACAGAATTGTATTAGAGGCAGGGGACAATGATGACGTCAACCCTCCAACAATTTGCAGCAGTCGTAGCAATTCAATAAGAAAATTAGAGCTATATGTCGAGGGTCGAGAGAACCTTTTGCCCATTCTGATACTACCAAGGTTTAAACCTTGTCTTCTACCACTTTTAACAACTGACGAAGAATAACCTCTGATAAATGGGTATTACAAATAATCAAGCATGGATATACTATACCTTTATGTCTACACCCCCTACACTCTCATGAAGTTCAGTCTCCTGTCAGAGAAGATTATTTTCTACACCTTGGGACGATTGAGTTAGTCCCACTTTTCATAGAGGAAAAGGTTTTTATTGCTATTATTTCCTCACAGAGACGAAATCAGGAGGTTAGTGGCTCCTCAGAGATTTATGAACACTCAACAGATTTGTTAAAAAGCAAAAGTTTAAGATAACACTTGCACTATTACACCAGTGTACATGTGTTCCAACATCTCAGCCTTCAGATAAACTAAAATCAAATCTGATTTCTGTTCAAAAGATTCAGTTTATAGGTGCTTACCTCAACTCCACAAACTCTGTTGCCTCCCTTTCACAAAATAGTAAACTTGGTCAGAATGTTGCAGTCAGCTCCCAAGATAACGGCCCGCAACTGTCTCCAACTCTTGTGCCATAAAGCAGCACACAACTTTGTGGTAAAAAATGCCCGCTTATACATTAAGTCCCCGGGTTACGTCAATCCGACATAAGTCGGACCCCTAGTTACGAACGGGGGGGAGGGGCGCAGCTAGTGCGGGGTGCCTCCCCCACTGTCGCCGCCTCTG